TCTGCATCCTTTCCTTCAAGGCTCACGGGTCCAAGATTATCTTCTGTGTGTTAATTGGTTTCCCTTTTCTTTGTTGAAGAGAGTCTGTGCAATCCTTCTGCCTAGTCCGCCATCTTGCCCCGCCTGATTTCTCTTTCTTGTCTTATTGCTGACAGCCATGCAAATTGTTATTTTTCTCTAACTTCTGTGATATGTATTTTTTTTTAAATTTTCAGCTGTCTAGAATTCTATTTTGCTTTTAAGAGTCAAGTAGTCCCCTCATTTTTCTTAAGAGAAAAATGAAAAAAAAAGAGAAAAAGTACTTTTATCTCCTGAGTTATCAACTCTTGAGAAATGGCAAGGCAGAAAAAACAACTCTTGGCTGACTGAGTAGAGGGCTTCAGTAATCAGGATTTCAAGCTTTCCCACCTTATGAAAAATTCTGCTTTATGATAGGATTTGACTGAATATTGTTTTATAGTGCAAAGGACCACCAACAAAGTCAAGAAATTGGCAAAACTGTGTTCATAACTTTAAGACTAGTATATAGGGTTCACGCAAGACAGCAGAAAAGTGACCTGGTTAGCCTTTGAACACTTTTGAGAACAAAGGAGCACTGAAAGCTAGACTTAAGAATATGGATTGATCTATCATGCAGTGAAATTTCTATAGGTCCATAAGTTTATATAAAGAATTGTTAAATTTTTTTTTTAAAAGTACATGCTGTTATTATTCTCATTTATTTATTTTGAACATTTTATTCTGTTTTGGGTGAAAATTTAGAGCACAGTAGTTTCCCATTCAAAAATTTATACATCTTATTTGTGACATTAATTGTACTACCCTCAGTATAACAGAACTCTTTCCACTTCCTCCCTGGGTTCCATTTCCATCTGCCCATCTTTCATACTCCTTCCTGCCTTCTGAACTGTTTTTGGGCAAATGTTGTCCTTGTGGTCTCCTATAGTTGACTGTTCTGAAGAATGTGTTCCTCACAGGTATTTATGTTCACTTTACAGGCTACATCAAAACAAAACCAAACTCACCACCCCTGGGTTGGACATGACTCATAGCAACCCCTCCCTGCATTTCAGAGGCGGTATCACTACGAAAGTAGATTGCTCTATCTTCCTTTCGAGGAGTGGCTGGTGAGTTGAACCGCCAGCCTCCTGGTTAGCAGTCAAATGCCTTATGCACTATGCCACAGCTGCAGGTACTTTTAATGACAGCAAAGAAGACTACTATGTACAATTATTCAAGCATGTAACTGTCAGAACAGAAACCATAATGGACTGAGGAGAGTAAAGGACAGATGAAGAATCCACAGGGTATGACTAACTTCCTCCCTCCATTAGTTTCTCAGATCTTATAAGGATTTCTTCAAGCTTTTTCTTTTTTGGGAGAACCAACCATCTCTCTTTAAAGCTTTGAGGGAATTAACACTGCAAGTAAAGAGGCAAGGATTTCGGCAAAAGGCAGGTGGGTTCATTTCAGAAACCCGTGTACAAGAAGAGGGAGCCTTGGTGACACAGGTGGTTAAGTGCTTACCTGCTAAACAAAAAGTCAGTGGTTTGGAATCATCTGCTCAGTGACAGAATGATATGGCAGTACGCTCCTGTAGAGATTTACAGCCTTGGAAACCCTGAGGCAGTTCTACCCTGTCCTACAGGATAGCTATGAGCAAGAACTGACAGAAATGGGTTTGGTTTTGGTGTATAAGAAAAGCTGAAGGCTTTAGACTGGACTAAGCAGGAAGCTGAAGTTGTTCAACAGAGCAGGAAGGGTCTCCTCACAAACCCTTTCCCATCTCACACCCAATGTGTCAGTATAGCAGATTGTTTGCATTTGAGTTCTGGATGTGCCACTAACAGCATGTAACCCTTAGACAAGTCGCTTTATCAATGTTTTAGATTCCTCATCATAAAATGGGTATTACCTACCCTATAAGGTTGTTAAGATTAAATGAATATACAGAGTGATTACAGCACCAGCTGCACAGCAAGCACCAGGTCCTAGTTATTATTACTCTATCTAGCAGTTCAAATCAATGACTAAGCCCTAGGTTAGGGAGGAAATAAACAGCACTTAATATATGAATCATAAGAACAAAGGGGAGGGCAGAAGGCCCAGAAGCTAAGAGGTATGACAATAAAGAAACCAAAGGCTGGCCCCACTTAGCATCTAACATCTCAGGGCTTCTACTCAGATTTTTTCCTCCTTGTTTTTACAAATCCTAAGATGAACGTTAAATCTTTTGTTTCTACTAGCAAGATACTCAGAGGTCTGACTTTGACACAATCTTGGCAAAGATTAACCCAGCCAAGTCAGAACGCAGTTTGGAATCAAAAAGAACATTAGGAAATACTCCAGGTAATCTAGGAAGGATTGATTCTAAAAGCTACAAAATACAACACAAAAGAGGTTCATTTCCTCAGGACAACTGCCTGAGCCCTACCACACACTGGGGGGGGGGGTGTTGCTCCACATACAACCACAAGTGAGGAACACCCATAGTCTGGACAAGTTCCTCCTGTTCTTTGGGTGATGAATGTAAAGTGGTGCTCTTAAGCTTTATATCCTTTAAAAACAAAACAAAACAAACAAACAAACAAAAAAACCCACAAGGGTATTCGTAACCAAGATCTACTGAGAAGCCCAAAGAACAACCCTTCAAGAAAGCAAATGAAGACAACTAATGACCTCATTCCCATTTCCCTTTCTCCCCAGTAAAGTTTTCTGTCTCTTCCCTCTGTTAGGAGGTAGAGATATGACTCAAGGTTGAAAAACACAACAACAGTCTCAAATGACTTAGATTTAATCATCGGAAGCAAACTAAATGGAAAGCTTACAACAGAGAAGAATTACATGTCAGTGCCTTTTGCAAACTGAGCTGGGACAGAAAGGGATTGGGGACTGCCCCTCAACCTGATCCCTTCCAAACAATGGTGGCCCTGGCATGCCGGCTCAGAGGAGGAGGAGAATCTGCTGGCTCTGTGCGCTGTGGCTGCCTGCCCACCACTCACTCCTGGCCAGCATCAGGAGCCCCTCCTTGCAGGCTCTGGTCATCACCCTTCTTTTTGTGGCCCGAGACGATGTCATCAATCCGCAATAACAGGACTGCCGTCTAGGAGAAAAACCACAGCCCAAAGAGGTCAACAGAGGAGGGAAAGACATTGTTTCCCTTTAGACTTATCACTCAGCTCCTCCCCCAAAATTACCATTTTATCTGAAATCTACCTTTCTAGAGTCTTGAATGTAAAATGTGGCTCTCCCTAAACAAGCGATACAACTTATACTGCTACTCTTGCTTTTTATATGAGCAAAGGTAAGGAGGCTAGAATTCCTTGGGAGATCTTTGGCAAGAATACTCTCATTTTTGGCAGGGCTTTGAGCCAGTTCAAAACAGTTCAGTCCTGGTCAATGGAAACAAGGGCAGTGTATGTGCTGCATAGCAACCAAATTCCTTGTCATCTTTGAGCAGGGTCACCACTTTCTCCTCCCAACCCAAACCACTGGCACTGAAGCAATTATGACTCATAATAACCCTTTAGGACAGAGTAAAGCTTCCCCATAGGGTTTACAAGGATATGAATCTTTACAGAAGTAGACTGCCTCATCTTTCTCCTATCGAACAGATGATGAGTTTGAACCTTCTGATTAGCACCTGAATGCTTTCACCGCTATCCTTCAGAGCACCTTCTCAGGTCAAAATCCAATAAGCAAGAGATCTGGTTGCTATGCAACATGCGACACATATGCTGCCCTTGTTTCCATGGGCCATGACTGAACTTCTTCAAAGCCCTGGTTTTGGGGAATACTTTGCTTTCAATACTCCTTCCCGTAAAGGCTTGATCAAACACACTGGTTTCTGCATGGGGTAGTGAAACATTCTTCTATATGCTGTCCTGGCAAAGGTGAAAATAGCTAGCATGGCATATGCCTTAAGTGCCTCACCTCCACTGCTGTTTTATAGGTTTGTAGTTTCACAGCCAATGGCTCCCAGATGCCAAGTTCTTTCATGTCCACCAAAGTACCTGTCTCACCATTCACACCCCAAGTCTCACAGTTCTCCTGGGTGTGCTTGGCCTGTAGTTGAAATAAGCAGAAGCAGTTAAAGGGGATACTGGGTAAAAGCAAGCTGGCAGAGAACATCAGATTAAAAACTAAACCCAAAATACTAGATTGACAAGGGAGGGACAGGGGAAATGACAATGACAGCAGGATTGGTAAGAGCCGAGTGAAAACAGTAATGATAACAAGTAAAGATTAGGGGAGAGCAGAAACTTTAAGGAAACAAGTGTATTATAAAAGAACCCAGAGAGACAGATAGGAACCATCTCCTTAGATCAAACACAGATAGCTTTCCCTAACTCAACAAAGAAACAGCGCAGAGAGCAACTCACCCGAAGGGAGGTAAGCAGACGGATGGTACTGGCCCCACAGTTTTGGATAAGGGTACGAGGAATGACCTCTAAGGCCTGGGCAACAGCTCTGTATGGCCACTGCTCCACACCAGTCATGGCCTTGGATTTTTCCGTCAGTGCGTGGGCCACAGCCATCTCAGAGGCCCCACCTCCTGGCACCAGCTGAGGGTCCAGGAGAACATTGCGACACACTTGCATAGCATCCTGGAGATTGCGTTCTACTTCCTTGGGGAAGCAAATAGAGTATGAGGCCAAAGCTCAATGACTCAGGGACAAAGCAGAGGCACCAAAGGACTTCCTGACTGCCAGGGTTAGTAAACCAAGGAGAGAAACTAAGAAAGGTCCTTGGTACCTCTACTGGGCAAGGCAAAGACTATTTACCTGTGAAGAATATACAACTCATGACTATAAGAGGTCGGGGTAGAGTGTGCAGAAGCAAGGTTTTCATCACTTATACTAGAATTATACCCTATCCTATTGCACCTCTTGCCTCCCCAGGTGTGCCCTTTAGGAAACTGCACAGTATAGTAAAAACAATCTCTATTAGCTGTGCCTCTGGACAAGTTACTTAACTTTACTGAGGGGAAAAAAGTAAGACATGCAATTTTAACTTAAAAGAAGAAATAGAGATATTTGTGGCTGCATATCCAACTTAAATAGTAAATGGCAACAGGATTTTAGGCCCTCTGGTGAACTCTGAAGAAGGAGTATGACCTCTTCATACTTCAAGGCAGACTCACCGAAAGAATTTCTTTGCTGGCTCCACGGAGGAGAATGGTACAGGCTTTGGGGTCTTTACACTCAGTGATGAATGTGAAGTACTCATCTCCAATTTTCTTGATTTCCAACAGACCTGCTCCTGTCCCAATATCATCTTCTCTCAGTTCTTCTGGTCGGCTGACTATCCGGGCCCCACAGGCTCTATTTGGTGTGGAGAGTGAAGAATCAGATGATTTTTATATACTGTACCACCTCCCTTGTCCTAGGGTCTACGTCTAGAGATAGGGGCAAAACTAGCTGCCACAAATATTTCTATGTTCCTTGAGAGGTCTTGGCTACCTGGTTTAAAAAAACCCCAAAAACTTATACAGGGAAAGTTCCCTTATACAAATATGGCTTTATTAATAAAGGTGTATACACCTAATTCAACTACTATACCCACACATACTTTATGTGGCTGATACAGCCTGCCCTATACTGCCCAGTCTTAAGCCACTGACTACTAACCAGAAAGCTGGTGGTTCAAACCCACCAGCCGTTCCTCGGAAGAAAGATGGGGCAATCTACTTCCGTAGTGATACTGCCTTGGAAACCCAAGGGGGGTTGCTATGAGTCAAGTCCGACTCGACGGCACATAACACCACCACCACCACAATACTGCCCAGTCAGGTGTCAAAGCCAGTAAGAGGGCTGTACTAAAGAAGATGCAAAGGTCAAGCAAGAAGGAAGGTGATCAAATATCTAAGTACGTATATGATTCAATTTTAATGAATTAGGACTAAAATTTCTTATTTGTGCACGCCCCCCAAACCAAAAACCAAACTCACTGCCATCGAGTAGATTCTGACTCAGAGCGACCCTTCCTTGGGTTTCCAAGGTGATAGTGCCTAAAGCATCTGCTAACCAGAAGGCTGGTGGTTCAAACCCATCCAAGGAGGGATTGTTATGAGTCAAAGTTACCTTGATGGCAGTGAGGTTTTTGTTTTTTAAATCTCTATGAAAGTAAATTGCCCAGTCTTCCTTCTGAGGAGTAGCTAGCAGGTTTGATCCACCAGCCTTCTGGTTAGCAATCAAAGGGCTTAGGCACTATGCCACCAGAGCTCACCACCAGTCATAGGTATTACACGATCAACTATACAAATGTATGTGTTCATAATCACTCCAAAGAGAAGTGTAATATTCAATTTGGATTTGTGAAACGTCAAAAACTAACATTAAAAATGGTTGATTGCCACAATGTGGATGAACCCTGAAAATAATATACATTGAATGAAATCAGTCACTTATATAAAATAAGCAAATATCATATTATAATATACTAGTGGTTACACAAGGAGCTTTTGAGGCACAGTGCCTAAAGCATTTGACTGCTAAACAGAAGGCTGGCAGTTCAAATCCACCTCCATGAAAGAAAAACGGGGCAATCTATTGCCATAAAGATTTACTGCCTCAGAAACCCAATGGCGGTCGTTATGAGTCAGAATCAACTCAACAGCAGTGAGTGAGTGGTTACACACGGGGACACCAAGAGTCAGGAACTGACTCAATGGCAATGAATTTTGATTTATAGGAGGGTGTGGTTTACTTAGGCGGCACTGAATTTATTGTGATAAAATAATTTGAAAAAGCATAGCAATAATGGTTATGCAATATGAGTATAATCAAAGCCACTGAATTACATAAAGGCACACCTTGCTTTACTGCTGTTTACTTTACTGTGCTTTGCAGATGCTGTTTAAAAAAACACAACAAAAATTGAAAGTTTGCGGCAACCCTTCATTGAGCAAGTCTACTGATGCCGTTTTTCCAACAGCAGCGTGTCTGTGTCACATTTTGATAGTTTTCATGGTATTTCGGACTTTTTCAAAATGCTACTGCACACAAGACTACAATATAGTGTAAACATAATCTTTATACACACTGGAAAAACAAAAAAATCATGTGACTTCCTTTATTGCAGTATTTGCTTTATTGCTGTGGTCTGGAACCAAATCTACAATATGTCCATTGTAAGCCTGCATGTAGAAATTGCTGAATTGGTGAATGTTTTCTTGTATATATATTTTCACCACGTGCGCGCGCGCGCGCGCGCACACACACACACACACACAAGGATGGTATCTGACAAGGCATCGTATGGGTGTAGCAATGCAATCTGAAGTTGCGTGAGTAACAGGCAAGGATTCAAATCAAGAAAACAGATTCCTCCTATATTCTGAGCCAGTTAACTGACACAGACTATTCTGGAAACCACATGAAGGGAAATAAAGCCTTAATGATCCAGAGTCCACTCAGAATCATCATGATGATAATAAAGAACTCTTTTACAAATAGTAATTTAGAAATGTAATAGACACCTACCAAGGTAGTGATCACAAATGTCCAAGCACAAGCTGCACACACTTGGTTAAAACAAAACAAAAAACCGAACCCACTGCCATCTGACTCACAATGACCCCCACTGGGTTTATGAAGCAGTAAATCTTTACTTCTACAGAAGTAGATTGCCCAGTCTTGCTTCTGTGGAGTGGCTGGTGGGTTTAAACCACTAATGTTCTCGTTAGCAGTCACATGCCTTAGGCACTGCGCTACTAGGGCTCCTTCAATATAAAAAAGACTCAGCAGTGGATTATTTTGTTGGCTAAAGGGCTTGAGGAAGGCAGGAAGGCAGATAGCTAAGCCCCAGTTATCTCCACTTGTGACTGATCTAGCTGGTTGTATCCTTTGTTATATCTTTTGAGGTAATAATTTACTATACAACTATAAAATGGTAACACATGAGTTATTTCACCCTGTCCTACTCACCTAGCGATGCGATTATTGTCTGTCTTCCGGACTCTGCGAATGGCTGTAATATTGGCCCGCATGAGGTAGTGCTGAGCTAAATCTGCAAACCCAAGAGTAGAAGTGTCAAGCTGGAAGTTAGGAGCTCTGGGGTCTGGCCTGGTTTTATCCTCAACGTCCATCACACATTTATTTCAGACTATTCCAATGTGGAAAAAAAACTCTCCCATCTTCTTTTACCTCAAAGGTAGGTTGGAAGAATGAATGGATCGTACCTGAGATGCCCTTTTCTGTGATGACAACGTCAGGCTTCAGTTGGATAATGTCTTCACAGAGCTGCTGGATATATTCTTCTTCCATTTGGAGGATTCGGGTAAAGTCTTCCTCTCGTGTGATCTCAATGTCAGTCTGCGTGGTAAAGAAAAGTAGCTCTGATATATAAATTCATAAGACTGGTGAAGATCCTCAAGTTCATTCCAACTACTACACTCCCTCTACCCAGTTCTCTCACAAATCCCAGCAAATCAGAATAATATTAAGCCATGACCTCACACTTCTATAATCCACTTTAGACCTAGCTATCATCTAGTTTAATTCCTCCATATCATAAAGCAACTAGAACTCAAGTCACAAGCCAATTACTGGAGATTTGGCCCAGAAAGGTCTCTGGCCACCCAATTCAGTGTTATCTCTGTCCTGCCAGCACATTTGGCACCTCTAGATCTTAATTCTTCCTGCAAATTAAGTTCTTTGATTCTTGTTCCCAATCCTTGTTTGTTGTTGGTGCCATCAAGTTGATTCTGACTCACCTTACAGGACAGATTAGAACTGCCACACAGAGATTCCTAGGCCATCATCTTTACAGGAACAGATTACCAAGACCTTTCTCCCAGGAACAGATGGTGCATTTGAACCACTGACCTTTCAGTTAGCAGCCAAGTACTTAATCACTGCCACCAGGACTCCTTAATCCTTGTTCTAAGAATCAATTACTTTGTTTTATCTGAGGACGAAGCCTGTGAGCTTCCTGCCCTCTGGAAATTCTCCTTTAGCACTTCAAACTAAATTAACTTCTATCCTACATTCTCCTGATGCACTAGGGAGGGTGGCATGGTGGTGTGGAATTGAAACCAATCAGAGCTGGGTTCAAATCCTGATTTGTGTTCAGAGCTTCAGATTTCTCACCTGTAAAATGGAGTCAATACCAACTATCTCAAAGGGTTGTAAGACGCAGAGGTAACGTATGTAAAGAGAATTGGCAGAACAGGCATATAATTAACATACATTTACTTACTTTGCCATATAAGGAGTCAGATTCATATGGCAACTTTAAGGAACAGAGCCAAGTATCTCACCTGACTTTCTCCTTTCTTGTATTCCAGAGAAGAATCCAGCAGCACAATGCGAGGGTTCTTGATATAGCGCCGCATTCGTGGATGGGTCACATCCTTGTTAATCATGACTCCACGTAAGACACATGAATCTTCAATGATGCCCCCAGGTATCTAAACAAAAAAAGAGACCCACTTGAATCCTAACCTAGAAGAGAGAATTTCTCAATCTTCCTGTGTTTATTTTTCATATACTTTTCTTCTCTGAAGCTCAAACACACAAGTATTGTTGTAATCACATTTTCCCCCTCTAGGAAGCAACCAATCTTGGACCATGACATCCAATTTGAAGGTCAGCTGAGACCCAAAGAAATTCAGTAATTTTATAGATTTAAAAAAAGGGCTCAGATCTTTTCTACTTCCTTAAAAATATGCCCACAGGACCAGGTTTGCTGGTCCAATGGAGCCTGGTGTAACCACTGAGACTATGGCCCCTAGCTGCCCTTCAAGTCTGGAATTGAACCCACAACTGTGGTTTCCAGCCAAACAAAGTACAGGCATGTGAGTTAAACATTTCCCTCA